AAGGGAAAGGATAGTGAATGGATACGACGAGAACAATTAAAAACCTAAACGTTTTAGATTAGCTCCGACGATGTTAGAGTTGATCCTCGATTTGTCACCTTGCCAACTTTTACTCTTGTTACGAAATTGTCTGAGGTCGGCTTCATGGTCGGGATGTTTCATGGGGCGGTAGCCCTGCGGCGAGCACAACTCTTTCTGCTGCTTATAAAATTGTTCGTATCCACCATGCAGCAAGTAAACTTCCGGGTAGTACAGAGCCGGATAATGTTCTTTGTTACGCTGCCGATCCAAGCTGCGTAGAAAACGCGACATGTTCGGGCCTCGTTCCCAAGAGAACTCACAATGAAAAATTAAAATGTTTCTTTTATTCGAGTCCGGTTGTATCTCGGGCGTGCTCGTCAACGGGTTCAGCAGAATCTGCTCTATCAGGTCTTTACTGTAAAGGTTGACAGCACCCTGGATGTGGCCAGCGTCGAACTCATACGGGTATCGACAGTCGACGATTTTAAAGGAACTGATTTGGTCGTTGAATTGTCCGCGTATCAAGGCAGCCATCGTCTCGGTGGAAATCGATCGCAGGTCATCATGATGGCCTTCGGCCAGTGGCAGGACGCAAGGTTTACTAAAATCTCCGGTGAGATCAGTACTGGTGGTGCTGCGATGAATGGCAGACTTGATGAGAGCGTGCGTTTCTAGTTCTGACTGCACCTCGGAGTCTGTTTCCGATTCTGTTTCTACCTCCATTTTCATCGCGCTCGGTGCTGCCGACTCGGAAAAGCTTCTTTGAAGCACACACTTCGGAGCGGACGAAGTTGTCATCATGGTCTCGCATCCATTATCGCCGATGCTGTCGAGAAAGTTCGTCGATCTTCGCGATCTTTTGGCCACGTGCGTGCTTTCGGTGAGCGGCGAGTCCGGCCGTTTAAACGCGCAGCGTAGAGGCAACGTGATGTTGCGAGGGATGGTGGCGACGGAGTTGGACGGCGAGAAGCTTACGGTAACGCGTCGACGACCGGCGGTGGGAATCTTCGTGGCCAGCAGGTTGTCCTCGAAGATCGGGCTCGTGGTGGACGAGCTCGCTGTCGGTGAGCGAAATAGACAGGAACGTACTTTTGACAGATTCGAATTTTTCCGGTCTTCTTGCTGCTTTTGCAATGAAGCTGAGCGCCTGACAATCCCGCTGCCGCAATGAGTGCGGGCGAACTCAGGCGTCCTCGGATTGCTCGTACTTGCGATCGCGAACCTCTCGTCGCCGACTATGTCGCCGCTGAGCAAAATCGAGATACCGTTCGGTAGCCGACTTGACTCGTCTAACTTCTCGGCATCTGTCGTATCGTTGTAACTGTCGTCCATGCTCTCGTAACCGGAGGAAACGCTTCGGAAAAGAGAGTGTTGAGCGAGACACGCCTGAACTGGCGACGACCGCACCGGCGATTGTATCGGGCTTCGTGGATCCGCGGACAATCGTCGCGGTGCCAGAGACCGGGGTTGTGCGAAACGAAATCCATCTTGGCTCAATTTCTCCTCCTTCTCCAAAAAGCTCATTCCGTACGGACTGCTCCGACTGTTCAAATCGCATTTCTCCAGAGGATTACGAGACTTTCTTCCACAGCCAATCTGTCGCAACACGAAAACGATACAATGATAACTTCGAACGACGACCAGACAAAATAAGTGAGTCTTTGACGTTCATGTATATGCATGCGTTTCACATCTATCAGATGACATCCAAAAACGGATGGCAATTGGCATTGAATAATTTAAGGATGTATTGGCTATACAGTCAATCCCAAAAGTTTATGTACCTTAGAAAAACGCATTTCCTATAATTAAAAACAAAATCAGACATCGGAAGAATAATGCTAATAATAAATAGCTACGTGCTAAAAAGTAAGAAGGAAATATCCAATTAAGTATTGACGCTGACGAAAATTTGTTTTTTTCAAAATTGCGAAAAATGCTTCAAATAAAAGTTGTTTTCCTTCTAACTTCGATATTTAACGAGTTACGTATGATTATTTGGCATTTTATTGATGTTGACAAAATCCGACCATCCCAACGTCGAAACGGCGAACTTATGGCAAAAAATTTCATTTTTCTTTAATTACTCCTAAACCGTTGAATCTACGGGAAAATTGTATACAACCTTTCTTGTAG